ATATTTTAAATTAATCATTAAATGTTGCAATAAAACATAAATCAAACAGTACACTTCGGCCTGTGTGTACATTGAAGAAAAGTAATTAAAATAGAAAGAAGTAAATCAAGAAGAGAGAAGAGAATACAACATAAACTAATGATTTTTAGAAATATTTTCTGTCTTCATTCTCGTAGCTTTCGTAAGTCGATAGAGATTAATTAAGAGCAGAATATCAGCATTATTTCATGAATATCGTATATTGAAAAAAAAAACATTCTTGATCTAAAGATTTTTGGATCTCACTTTTATTCAGTTAGATGTTAGAAAAGCAAATATTAATATTGTTGATGAACATATTTAACGAAATGGGTATGGAAATAGTTTAAATTCTTGGGAAGAATATAATTATAAAATTATACATATTATAAAGAATTAGATTAGCGTTTTATCTACAACTGAATATGAGTTTCCATTCAGACGAAATAAGTAAGTATAGTTCGCTCGGGCGATATAGCGTGAAGAAAGCACAAAAAAAGCTAGTTTTTCAAAGAAATGTCAAATAAATATTTCTCTAAAAACGACAAAGCATTGTTCAGTTAAAACGGATTGAAATAAAGAGTTCGCACATAATCTAAGAAAAAAAGATTTTCCAAGAGTCGAATACGTACTTAGAACATCCAGCTGACACAATGAAGTGGTGTGGAACGGTGCAGTGGGCGGGCGGAAGCGGTAAACTGATAAGATTTAAGTATCAGAAAAGAATTCAAATATTGAAACATTTAATCCAGAGAAGAATATAATGTATAATACGTGAAGCAAAACTTTGTACCCCTTTTTACGAAAATTGCGCGGACGGAGGAGTATGAAATTTTCCACACTTATAGAGAACATAGAGAAGTGTATGATGCTGTAAAAATTATGTATTGAAAATACATTAAATTAATAAAGAAAACATTACACACACTACCATATATTTGACACAACACATACATATAAATATACTCTTTGTGTATTGTCAAACTTTTGTTTGCTTATTACTTAATCTGGTCAAATTAAGAATAGGCTAATATTGTTTATCTTTAATATTATTTGTTTATAGTGTGGTCTTGGCGAGATCTGTGAATAAAGAAGTATAATAATCTTTTATAATTATTTTTAAAGTTATAATTTCAATTAATTTTAGTCGAATTTCGACTACTGCGGGACCACTAGTATTCATAGTTACTACGACTTGCTCACTAGTGTGGGTTCTGCTCCTATCCCTCCAACGTCCGTGCATACTTATTTATTCTGTCAATATTCCAACAGTGGAGTAGCCATTGAACCACTGTTATTGATATATCGATGACAAGAAGAAAATATTAACACAAATATGGCTTTCGGTAGCCAGTGAACATAAACTGAGTTGAAATTTAAAGTTGTTTTTGGTATTTCAGGGAAGATTTCTTACATACCATTACTATATTTGTGTTTTGAAGTAATGGGTGTATTCCATGTAGTTAATAAGCTATTGTCCTAACGAAGCTTGGAATTTACTAGGCTAAAAATAGTTCAAACGCTATGACAAATTATTTTTGGTTTTCCCTCTTCATATGCTTTCAGCATTTGTCTCATTTGAATTTTGTTTACCCAATACTGATTCTAGGGATAGGCTTTACTGTATCCTCGTTATGTCTATGAAGATCAACGTATGGAAGGAGCGATAGTACTAATTTGAAACATTATAATATTAACTTTATTTGTATATTGTGACCGTACTTAATTATCAGTTATATGAATGACAACCGCCAAACTATACATAGGTAAGTATGCACAACTTGGAAACAAATTTGTATTTTGTGACCCGCAAAAATATTTCATTATTTAGTAAAGCAAATTTCGTTTAATTTAATCTCATGTGGTAAATGCTTGTTACCTTAAGATAGTGTTTTTTGCAATGTCGTTTTGATTATTAGCCATAGGTTGTAAATAAAATACAATGGTCGTATTTGAAGTCAAGAATTTTAATGGCAGTCAAAGGAATGTAAGGTCATTTAATAAGAGTTAATAAGTTGCGTGTAACTAAGCTTAAAGAGTTTATGGTAAAGAATACTTGATTGAGTTTTTTTTTGCAATTGTGTCAAAGGAGAATGACCAAAAGTCGTCTAGCAAAGTTGCATGTTGCAGAATCAAAATAACATCGAAATGCTTTGTACAGGACCGGAATTATGATTTTAAGATTAATAGTAAATCAACAATTGTTCGCATCATTTCCGTATTAAAGTCATGACAGGACATTTCGTTCTGTCTATTTAGACAGATTACTCATGCATGAGTTTTTAGACTCAATCATCACAAAAATGATATCAAAATCTTGTACAGTTCAATAACTAGGTATATTATATTCTTATATTATATTTTACAACGTATTGAATTATGATTTTATCATTAAGTTAAAATAATTATTTTTTCGGTGTTCCGTTTCACGCAGACGCAACTATCAACCCACATGAATTCACATGATATTGTCGATAGACGAGCCGGTGGCTGCGACCCAGCAAGCGGCCACATGTTTTTATGTACCTAAAAGTGTTTTATTACGCCAGGACGTTTGTATGTTTTGTTAGTCTTCTGTAATTCTGTAATCATGTTGATGCTTGAGCCTCTGATAATGAGGAGAAGTCGGTGTGTGAAAACTATGATTAATATGTAATGTTTGTGGGCTTATCGTTATTTATAGGTTATGTTCGTTTTGATCTAATTACTTGAAAACCCGGTTAATTATGGGGAAGCGAACACTTTTATTCGATAACTAGCGACCCGCCCTCGCTTCGCTTCGGAAACATTAAAACACACATGAAACCAAAAAAAAAAAAAAATTAGCCTATGTTCATCAGGGACAATGTCGGCTTCTAATGGAAAAAGAATTTTTCAAATCGGTCCAGTAGTTTCGGAGCCTATTCGAAACAAAAAAACAAACAAATCTTTCCTCTTTATAATATTAGTATAGATATATAAAGCGTAGTCTATAGTAAATACAGATTTATTGTGCAACAACTTAAGACGGAATTCCATACATATGTGGTAATTGTCCTTTGCAGCCGCTTTGAGCTAGATTGTCTTCTGCTCTACAACTGCTCCACCAAAACGAAGGACGTTCGACAATCAAACAATGAACCCTTTCAATCACTGTTTAAGCTTATAGGCTATAGCCCGCTAATTTTCTCAGCGGGTCACGATTCCGATTCCGTGGTAAAGCTTGAACACTAGGGCTTAAGATTAGGAAGAGGATTAGGTGCTAACAAGTTAGGATTCCTTAGAAAGCGCACGGTCATTTGTTGGTAAACGCTCCCCTCCCGGTTAAGCGGCAAGGCCTCCAGACAAACCGCATGCCTTCTATTCCCAAAAAAACGATATGTATGTAGGATGCTTACTCGCCTGGAACCCGGAGGCGGAAGCACTCGCCGCGGATTATGCGTGGCGTAGCGACCTATCGTATCACCGTATCATCCGTGGAGCACACTCAGGCGATGCACCGCCTAGTTGGAGCAACGCGCGGCCTTCGTGGCAGTCATAGGAAAGAGCCTGTCGCTGCCTGCCGTCGTGGTTACGATGCTCGGCAGCGATGCGTATCGGAGCCGGGGCCGAAGAAGATTGTACAAGCGTACGTCCCGGCCCCTATAGGAGGCGGCCTCCCCCGGTGAAGGTCACAGGACGACTTGAGGTGGTCGAGGACGCGTGGCGCGCTAAAATCAGAAGTGACATCATATGAGTGACCTGTTGGTCTTATATCACGTCCCGACCCGGCAAGCTGGTTTCGACCCAGCCGGATGTCCCGAGACACTAGCGGGTCCGCCTGAGCGGCCTGACGGCCGTCGTACAGGAACGGCTGATATTCCAGAGCCTTCGTTTTGCCTCGAAGACTCCGTCGGCCAGGTGTTTTTGGGATGAGCCCCGCCTTTGGATGCAGTGCTGACTGCGGTAACCCCCTTATCCCGTCCAAGTTCTGACCTCAGGCGGATCCGACGCTTGAGCGAGAATGCAGGTGAGTTGTTTAGTGGGTAGAGCCTTAAGTACCATCCTTGGGTCCGCGGGCCGCTGCTAATATCTGCGTCACATAGTGCCACATACCTACAACGCGCGTACCTCGTAGGAGGTTTAACCCCGGGCCCGCAAAAAAAAGGACATTATTCTTATGTAAATTTATTTGTTTTGATATATATTTCACAATATACATAAAGCTAACCGAGTATTGATTTATATTTTTATTAACTTCGTATTAAATTTTCCTAACGAATTCTAAGAAATCAGTGCTGTATTTGTAAAAGCAATTTTGTTTGTGTATTACACAGATAAACGCAAATATTTGTTTTGGAGATCGAGTAGCTTATTATGGTATGGCATTAAGCCTCAAATTTATTATATAAATAAATAATCTATTTAATAATAATATGTATACTTAATCACTACATAGTATAAAACAAAGTCGCTTTCTCTGTCCCTATATCTGTCTGTCCCTATGTATGCTTAAATCTTTAAAACTACGCAACGGATTTTGATGCGGTTTTTTTAGATAGAGTGATTGATAGAGGAAGGTTTATATGTATAATAATATCCATTAAATAGTGGAGAAATCAATAATAAATTACAATTTCCGAAGCGAAGCGAGGACGGGTCGCTAGTATGTAATAAATAAGATAAGTTTACTTTTTTTACAAGTTTACCTGAACACACTGAATGAATGATGTAGTAAGCAGTCTGAAACTCAGTTCCGTGTCCTATATTTATATATTTATATTTTCCTATATTTATATTAAAACAACCCATTACAATTTTCGTAATCAACCAAAAAAAATTTTTTTATTAACTTCAATTATATGATACTTTAATGATATATACACATAAGCAAACTATATTTTACAAATCGCTTTTCACTAATGCGTGGGACCGCGTCTACCATGACTTCCCAACGAAAGCCATCAGGCTCGCGTCCGCGCCCCCCGCGCTCTTCTCGCTCACTCGGTCGCAGAAGTGTTGGCTGCGGTGGTCGAGTCAACTGGAAGCCGTCGCGGCACCCACATCGTGTCACTTAGTCAAAGCCACCAAACTTCTGCTAAACTTAAAAAAAAAAAAAACCTTATAATGGATGTCGAAGAGTTTCGTGTGCGCGGTAAAGAGATGGTAGATTACATATGCACTTACATGAACACGTTGCGTACCCGGCGCGTTGTGCCCAGCGTGGAGCCAGGATACCTACGAACGGCACTTCCGGCCGAAGCTCCTCATCACCCCGAACCCTGGGACGATGTGATGAACGATGTCGAGCAAAAGATAATGCCAGGTGTAACACATTGGCAGCATCCACGTTTTCACGCATACTTTCCGGCAGGCAACGGGTACCCTTCGATACTTGGAGATATGTTGTCTGCTGGCATCGGATGCATTGGTTTTTCCTGGGTATGTAAATAACTTAGCTCTAATATCAGTTCGCTTAGCTTCATAACATATTTACTTAAAGAGCGAGTTACTATATCCTTAGTAAATTATTGCTCATATCCTTAGTCGGGTAAATCCTCAGCAAAAAATGGATTTTTAAAAAAATTAATAGAAACGAATTTATCCGTGTATTTTATTGGAATGAGAGATTAGGGAAGAAAATATATAATTAATTAAAACAGAGTTAAACTGAACAGTTTTAAGTTCAAACCTGATTTCATTAAGCCACGGGTGCTTTTACCAAATGAAGTGGTGATATTCGCATTCAAAATATTTCTCAATTAAGTAAACTGTTGGGATAGTTTTATTCTACAAACTAGTGCATCCATAATATGATTCGGTCATTGCCGACTCCTGCTTTTCGGTAATACAGCTCTCGTAGATAAAAATTGAAAATCCTAATGAATACTGCCATTTGTCTGACATTAATCGGCTAGTCCACTTGCACCCAGGGTACTTTTTGCTGTAGAAAACCAGATATCCAGAAACATAGGTAGCCAGACTCACGGTACTTTTAGCTTTAGTATATTCCGGAGTCTACAGACATTATCAGAACATGAATACTACTCTAAAATGGAAGGGATCCAGGGTTTCCGGGCGCCAGGATCCATCCTTTTTTAAACTAAGTATGTATTAATAGTCTTCAGCGGTTCACGATGCTAAATAGTGACCCACGTATAACGTCATGTATGCTAGTCTAGCTTGGTTCTTGAAAAAAATTAGGTCGAGTTCATTTACTTTTTCTAATAATATCTCGTTTGAATTACACAGTATTTTAAAATAATTTTGTCTTATTTGCGCTTAATTCCCGAATGTAAATTACATATATGATGTGTATTTAAGTAACCCAATCTATGTATTTAACAACAGATCAAAATATTATCATTGACGAAATCGATTGAATATGAAACTCAGAACAAATTTTTCAATATTTTTTTATAGCCTACTTAGTAGAAAAAGCTCTGCATTCATATTGCCACGTCTTATGGGCTCTGGTCACTAAGCACCAGGTGGGCTGTGAGCTAGTCCATCTATCTAGTGCAATAAAAAAAATCGCACTCTACTGGAAACAAAACTATACATCAACTTCATTTATCTAAGCTATATGTGTAAATTATCGTATCTAACATTCATCTTAGACAAGGGATGATGAATAGGCTCGTAAGACATGGACGTTCATAACATCAATGTCGTGTCTGTGTATTATGTTACATTTAGGTACATTAAAATGATCTTAGACGACGGGTGTAACAGACAACAAATTAGAATTTTATAACAAACTGTTTTGACATGGAAGTTATCTTTTTTAAATCATCTTTTTCTTCATTTTTTAAGGGTTTAGGACCTTTAGGCTTAGCTGATGTTAACGTAGCGGGTACTTCAATGTAATGAAATGGGCGACAGTTTTCGTATAGCGATTGCTGATTTCAAATGGCCCATGGGCTTTCAATCTATGCTATTTTTCAGTTTAAATAATTAAAATCGTAAACATAATGATTCTGTAAAAGATTAAGCTGATAATAAAGAGATCTAATATTTAATTCGTTCCATTTTATGATTATTCAAAAGCGGAATGAATATGTAAATTTTAAAACGACACAAGGTCTGGACTGCATCGATTGTGATAGTATCGATTGTTTTGTAAGCGTTTCATATAAATTACTAACGACGTAGTACTTACTTTGAACGGCTTTTGAACTTTCGATTCTAATTTTTTGCACGACTTATTAAATATATTAATAAAATGAGATAAGCGATCGTGCTCCTATTGAGCTAAATAAATGGGTATACAGTCAAACCTGGGTAAGTGAGAACTGGATAAGTAATAAAACTCTATAAGTGAGAGTAATAGCAAGGACCCGTCATTTTAAGCTCCCAAAATCTCTATTAGCGAGAAACAGAAACCTCTGTAAGAGAGAGTCGTTATTTCCTCATGGACCTCCGTAAATGAGACTGCTACCTATCTATACTTCTATAAGCGACAGCCGAGCTTTATTTATATTATTTATATTATTTAGGAGGAACAAATGACAAAACAAATTAGAAATTTAACATCTGCTATTTTATGACTCATTTTTAACTTTCGTGGAACTTCTTATCATTGTTTTTGTATTGTTTTCTCGTGAATATTGAACATATTCTATTTCGTGGAACTAAATAACTTTGTTATTTTATCGTATTCTTTTATCGCATTATTTTCGAATGGACACGTGTGCCTGTGTACCGTCCTGTTTGTCGGACTTACTCAGATTATCGTTAATCAATTGCGAAGGAAAGTTCTGTTCTGCATCATGTAAAAACGGAAAATTAAAGTACTGCCATTAAAGTCATAAACTTAAAATAGTGAATGCATTTGAATGCGGAAAATCGCGAATTTAAATTCAGAGGGAGCATTAGCGAGAAACTCGGGTTAGTGAGAAACCTCTATAAGCGAGAATGAGATTTTGCTCCCTTGAACTCTCGCTTATCCAGATTTGACTGTATATTATTGTCCGTTTTATTGCAGGCAGCAAGTACCGCCTGTACTGAGCTAGAAATAATCATGTTGGATTGGATGGGTAAATTGTCTTAATCATATCTTTAAGCCATAATTATTTAGTATGTTGTAAGCATTTAATTGATTTGATTGGTTAAATTATGTTCATTGTTTTTTATTAAATACTAACACTCCTGAAATGACCATAGTACGTGAACTTCATTTGTTTTAAAAACATTTCTTCTAGTTGTTAGGATGTTTGAAATGAAAACATCTGTGATATGTAATCATAAATTAGCGAGATGTATAGATACATAAAAATAGACTGCTTGCTACATCGTAGCACTGTACAATGAAGGATCCCTGTTAATTCGTAACTAGGTATATAACGAGAAGCGAGCATTCATAACGTGACTTTTTTATCGTATCACATTCTGATTAACAGGAAAAGCGATTGGACTACCGCCTGCCTTTTTAGCGCTTGAAGAAGGTAGCAAAGGGGGCGGTGTTATCCAGGTAAATTCATTTCGTGGCTTGTTTAAAAAGTAACTTATGTGACTTTGTATCGTAATATTAAGTTTTTTTCTTTTTTTTTATTGCCCTTGTAGGCAGACGCGCATACGGCCCACCTGATGGTGAGTGGTTACCGTCGCCCATGGACTTAATACTCTCCACAAGCCTCGTTTGAAGGAGGACATGTCATAGCGCTCGGGAAACACCGTGTAGGGGAGCTCATTCCATAGCCGGATGGTACGTGGCAAAAAAGACCTCTGGAAACGCACTGTGGATGACCGCAGTGGCTCCAGGTAGTATGGGTGTTATACAACCATCACTGGCCGGCCGCACTGGAGATCGATTGGAGAGACCTATGCTCAACAGTGGACAACTATAGGCTGAGATATATTATTATCGGGGCAAGAACTACAAACATTTGTTAAAAATATGAAGTGGATTACAGAAGAGCACTTCGTATCGTGCTATTGTTTTAAATAAATAATTGGAAATCACTTTGATCATCACACTGACTCATTACGTATTATTTATTAAATTCTCTGTAAGAAGCAATTTTATTTTATTAGTAAACGAAATCAAGAGTCAAAGAGTGCAAAGTAAGTATGAATTTTTGATTAGGATTTCGCGTCAAAAACCTGTGGATTACGATCGCTGAAGCGCTCGGATCGCGAATTCACTTTACTCACTACATAATTAAGGGTTTTCACCAATTGTTGGACATTTTTGATTAAATTTGATTGGAGTGAGATTATAGTTCACAGAACTCAGTATATGTTCATATACATTAATGTATATTCATATACACAATATACATAGAAAAATTAATGATAAAAGTAACTGATATTCAATGCATGGAACAGAAAACCTCCAATCTTCAGTGCATGAAGCGGACAAGCTAGTGGTTTGAACTTATTCATGTCATTTGACTCCAAAACCGCTTCCTGGCATTTTCACCGGCAAAACCTATAGTCATCTTTCACAAATTCTTGCAATCTATCATTGTTTATTTACGATGAGATAAAATGGTAGCATTACACTTACTTACACTTACTGTAACTAGCATCATTCAATTGATGTAAAACAAATTCACATGCATCTATGTATACCAAACGTAGAAGGTACAGACTTCCAACTTAAAATTAAATAAAATTACAAGCAAAAACATTCGTATTTAATTTGTACAATAATATTTTACCAATTTAATTTACAGGGATCTGCTAGTGAATGCGTTCTTGTATCTATGTTGGCTGCCAGAGCCAATGGAATTAAAAGATTAAAGCATCAATTTCCCAATGTTGACGAGGGACTTTTGCTATCAAAACTAATAGCATATTGTTCTAAGGAAGCCCATTCATGCGTCGAAAAGGCAGCCATGATTTGCTTTGTGAAACTTCGTATCTTACAGCCGGATGACAACGGATCTCTTAGAGGTGAAACACTAAAGGAGGTAAGACAAAATATTGAATTAAACGTAAATTAAATAAAAGCGTAGAATTGTACAGTTTTTTAAATAGAATTGGGACACGAGATGAATTGCAAAGCAGGGTGCAGATAATCGGGCGGTAATTGAAGAGCCTCCACGGAGGTTGCCTGCGACCGTGGAGTCGTCCCACGTTTAATGACTCGCCGGTGGATTCCGGAAATACGTAGCGAGCCAAGCGGTAATGGAACCGCATTGTGTGCCACTTTCTATGCTGCAAATATTGAAATTTCATGATACGATACGACCCTCTTGTGAACAGATGTCGTTAAAAATTGTTTTAAAAATTCGTTCACAGAATCGTGTTTGTGCATAATTATCGAACATTGACGAAAGGTGTTATATGAACAGAAAGTATTACTTCTACGGGTATTAACCGTAACATATATGTATACCTATTATGTATGAATTGAAATCGAGGCAGCAATAATAAATTAATTGCCCACCTTATTAAACAATTAAACCTACAACACTTAATCTATCTAATATTATAAAGCTGTAGAGTTTGTTTGTTTGTTTGAACGCGAATTTTTCAAATCGGAACAGTAGTTCCTGATATTAGTCTCAGGAACTACTGGTCCGATTTGAAAAATTCTTTCAGTGATAGCCAATATATTAAGGAAGGCTATAGGCTATATAACATCATGTTAAGACCAATAGAAAGAATGTTTCAAAATCGAGGTTTTTTTCCCTTTTGAGAGCTTCCGCTGCGTGCGTTGCAGAAACGGTTAAAGTTTCGCTAAAATAATGTATGACAGAATTTGTTCCCTTTAAAAGATCTAAAAAAAGTCCGCGACAGTATATGTCTATACATAGGCGGCACTGAAAATTTCGGGAATTAACGAAGTGACACAACATTACTATTTAAAAATGTATTTATTGCTTTTCGAAGTATTCTCCGCGAAATTTGATACATTTTTCCATACGATGGAACCAATCATTGAAGCAACCATTCCATTCGGAAGTTGGGGTCTCCAAAATGGCCGTTTTGTAGGCGTCCACAGCTTCTTCAGGTGATGAAAATCTCTGTCCACGCAATGTATTCTTTATTTTAGGGAAAGTATAGAAATCATTAGGGCTTAGGTCGGGGCTGTACGGCGGATGGTCTAATAATTCTATGTTTTCTTGCTCTAAAAACTCTTTTGTTCTATGCGCGGTGTGAGAACTCGCATTGTCGTGATGGAGGATGATGCGGCGGTTGCAGTTCTCTTTACGGAGTTCAGAAACGACCTGTGGCAAACAAATGCTAGCATACCATTCTGCATTAACCGTTCTTTGTCCCTCAAGAGGAATAGTCGTAACATGGCCGGTTTTGGAGACAAACGTGGCCACCATTTTTTTTGCAACACTCCGTGAACGAACAATTTTTGTTGGCTTTAACTCATTTTCGAACACCCAAACTCGTGACTGGTTTTTTGTTTCGGGTTCGTACGCGTATATCCAGGATTCGTCACCTGATACAATGTTGTATACAGCATTTGAGGATCCTGCGTGGAATCTTTCGAGAGTTCTGACGCACCAAGTAACGCGAGCCGCTTTTTGCTCTTCACAGAGCGAATGCGGTATCCATCGGGAAAACAACTTTTTTACACCTAATTGTTCATGCAAGATTATTTGTATTTGACTCATGCCAATGTCTAAAGTTGCCTGAATTTCGCGGTATGTCACATGTCGACCTTCCTCAATCAGCTTACGCACAGCATCAACGTTTTCTTGGGTGACTGCAGTTTTTGGACGACCTTGACGGGGATCATCACTGAGCTTGACACGTCCACGTTGAAACTCAGCAAACCAGCGATAAATTGTGGTTTTGAATGGGGCTTCATCACCAAATGCAGATATCATCCGGTCAACACACTGTTTTTGTGTTAAACCACTTCGAAAGTCATAATAAATCATCGCTCTTGAATTTTCTCGATTTTCTCAACGACTAAACAAGTTTGACAAAACCTCGTGACAAGACCGAGAATCTTTTTTTAAATAAATGGTATTCGATTTTTAAAAGCAAGGAGTTTTCAATTAAAAAGATTTTAATATGACAGGAACAGTGGAAATATTCCATTCCCGATACTTTTAGTGCAGCCCTCGTATGTTAAGGTTGGCTCACTATAACGTTTTTTATGTTAACCAAATTTGTTCTAAAATAAAGCATTATTTGTGAACTATTCCACGCGGACGAAGTCGCGGGCAAAAGCTAGTCTCACAATAAAAGCCTAGGACCACTTTTTGTTGAATTATTTCATTTCTTCATTTATATGGTGACTTATTAACCGTATATCATTTTTGATAGTGCAAAACTGTGGGAAGATGAAACGAAATGGTTGCGCGGCCACGGCCTACTGCTGCTCATTCTCCTTCAATTTATTATTTAACAATTACTTCGTTCACGAAGTTTATTGTAAGCCTTCGTTTAGCTGCCTTCGTTCGTCATGAATGGACGCTCGTTATGTAATGTTTTTTCCAGACAGCTTAAGATTTGCTAGTAGGTAATCTAAAAAGTAAATTAATTATAATTTAAAACCGACTTCAAATTAAACTTTACACTAAAAAGCCACTTACGCCCTACCACTTTACGCCTTATGTGAATCCGAAGGAAATTGTATTTTTGGAAACCGGTGGTTTCTCCACTAGTAATTAGAGCAATCTATGTCTTTTTATTTTTTATTTAGGTTTCTCTACTATTAAAGTTCGCTGAGAGTCACCACTAAAAATTCAAGGGACGCAATTTCTTTAATTGGATGAGATATACTTGAAATTTTTTGATTTCAAAACCAGTTACCCGAGCTATACTGTTATGAAATTTCTATGGAATCAATTCGTCATTCATTCAATAATTAAAAAAAAAGAAAATTTTCATATCGGATATAAATGAAGAAGTTCTGCAGGAGTTCTACAAAATACACATTTAGAATCTCCTCTTTCTTGAAGTCGCCTTAAATAACTAAGTTTTTTATATCAAAAACTTGTGGCACGTTTTTTAGCGATATTAGAATAAAATATCCAAAATTTTAACAAAAAAATATATTTGAATGCAAGCTACTATTTTTCCTATAGTAAAACCCCAGAAACATAGAGCTAGTCAAAATAAATTTACTCTATTATTTATTTGCGTAGCTTGAATCAAATTTATAGTAAAAAAAAATTACCGCATAAATACGGTTAATTCAATTTTGTCCCAGTCGTACTGAATCTTCTAGTGGTAGTAGTTGTATGAGATAACATATACGAGATGTGAATATACGAGTATATAATAGAGATTATATATGGATATATGTGTAAATGTTATATTATTATCATGATATAATATTGTGTACGTTGTTTATGTGATTATATATATACCGTGTATGTGTTTGTATATGTATGAAGTATTATTATCAGTTTGGTTATTTTCATATTAAGTTATGCACCTACCACAGGATTCTCTGCACCACTCTTGGTTGACTGGTAGAGAATGCCTCAGGCATTAAGTCCGCCATTGTACTTCTGTGCATTATGTTAAATAAATAAATAAATAACAAGAAAATATTTTACAAAATAACATAACAAAATTAAATAATATTATTATTTGTTACAATGTTTATTTGTTGATTGTTTATTTATTTTTTACGTTCTAACAGGCTATGGAAGAAGATGAAGAGGCAGGGCGAGTACCGTTCTTTGTCGCTACGACATTAGGGACTACTTCATGCTGCTCCTTCGATAATTTGCCTGAAATAGGTCCCGTGGTGCGGAAATTCCCTTGCGTGTGGCTTCACGTGGACGCCGCATATGCTGGAAGCTCATTCCTCTGCCCAGAACACAAGTATCATTTAGCTGGAGTTGAATATGCTGACTCCTTCAATACTAATCCTAATAAATTAATGCTTGCGAGTTTTGACTGTTCACTATTGTGGGTCACTAACCGCTATCTTCTAACATCTGCCCTCGTGGTTGATCCGTTGTATCTACAACATTGCTACGACCACACTGCTATCGATTATCGACACTGGGGTATATCGCTTAGTCGTCGTTTCCGTTCGCTTAAGCTATGGTTCATGTTGAGAAGTTACGGTGTTAGCGGCTTGCAAAAATATGTCAGAAAGCATTGCGAACTGGCCAAATATTTTGAAAGGCTTGTCAAGAAAGACGATAGATTCCAAGTCTGCAATCAAGTAAAGGTACGTTTTTGTTTTCTTATTGCGAGTATCTATGTTGTTATCCATGTTGCCAAGTTAATAAGTACGTAAAATGAAACCACTTTCAGTTGGGTTTGGTTTGCTTCCGCCTCGTTGGAGGTCCCGACGAGACTCCGGAGCAAATTGATGAGATGAACAAGAAACTCCTCACTAATATAAATGCATCTGGAAAACTGCATATGGTCCCGGCCTCTGTTCGGGAACGTTTTGTGATACGTTTCTGTGTGGTAGCTCAGCACGCTACACGTGAAGATATTGGTAACTCAAAGTGTTTATACATACACTAGTTGACCCGGCGAACGTTGTTTTACCATATATAAGATTTCTAGGGAATTTCTAGTATAGAAAAAAAAAACTAACTGATTGTAAGTGTGTAAGGATTAACAAATAAAAAATAAGGGTTGATCGTAGAGGGGTGAAAATTTAGGGTTGTATTTTTGTATGCTGTATCATAAAAAAATAAAAACAATTTATTTTTGTCAAAAAAAAAATATTTTGGGTGGGTCACCCTTAACATTTAGGGGGATGAAAAATAGATGTCCGATTCTCCACCCTGGCCGATATGCACGCTAAGATTCACGAAAATCGCTCGAGCCGTTTCGGAGGAGTTCACACCGTGACACGAGAATTTTATATATTAGATTTTATAACGCTTTAATTTGACATTAATATTTTGTATAATAATGAGCAGGACCGCAAAGAATGGCGTTTCTTGGTATAGAAGGCATAGATCCAGTTTGATTCGCTTAACAAAGGGAGTTAATAAGTTAATTAATATTGCATACCTACTTTAATTATGGTAATTTACATTCACAGAAGTTGCTTGGGATATAATATCCGACTTTGCTACGGAGTTATTAGAGGGTCCGGATAAGGAAAGGGTACGTTATAGACTTTTTTCTTTCAGTTCCAAATATCACATTCAATGCAAACAATTTCTCTTGTCATAAATTTGTGTTGAATGTTAGCGTAAGCCGTCCCAACACTAAATAGTTCTAAAAAAAACGAACTCTACTAATTCAAAGAAAACTAACAAAAATTTAAAACCCATAGGATCTAAACGAGGAACGTACTCGTCGCAATCGTGCCGCTCTAGCCCACAAGCGTTCGTTCTTCGTACGTATGGTTAGCGATCCAAAGATCTATAATCCGGCTATCAACAAAACTCCACCACCGGTAGCTACATCTCCTGGGTCACCACCCGCTGCTGCACCTTCCACGCCGGATACTCCATCCGACTCTGGCTCCATTCAACAGCCCACTACGCCGTTAGTACATATGCGCTATTTACAGTTTTTTTTTTTCTCGTTAATTTGTGAATGTCGTTTACCTTTTAATTTATTTGCGAAAACAAAAATTACAGTCACGTCATTGAAAAAAAATTTATAATGATTTCATTCGCTACTTTGTAGAACGTATTTACTCTAATTTTGAATGTAAAATTATGAAAATGCAATCGAATATATTGTTAAGTTAGGATTCCGGATATGCTATTGAACGGATTGTAAACAAAGACAGGCTTGTTGACATATTTTTCAAAATTTTCAAATATAGAGATCGTGAAGGATTGTTCCATTCATTCTTTTAAAACAGCCATTGGCTAAAAGTTTGCTATGTGCGAAGCTGTGGTTCTATTACATTATATTACAAAAAACGGAATGCCTGAAATAAAAAGCTGTGGCATCGGTCCCTCCCCGCGACGGCCTTCCCCTTTTGGGGAGCTCTTAGCGGGTGAGCGCCAAACTAGTGCCGCGGCCCCCCCTCTGAGTTGTAGAGGCGGGGCCGCGGCATGGGGCCGGTGGCGGGCCGCGGCATGGGGCCGGTGGCGGGCCCCTCGTCTGCTGTCTGTTGCCCTGGTTTCTTGTATATAGTAGTATAGTTAGAATTAGTTAGATTGTAAGGAAAAAAAAAGAAAAAAAAAACCGAAGCCAAGGACAGCAGCCGGCGCCGGGGTGCCACCTCCGCGGGCATCAATCCGTCGCTAAGATCAAGCTCATCGTATTATGTATATGTATATATTTTTGTCGATGTGGAGTGCACCGAACGCGCATACGAACCCTCTTCCCATTCCCCCCTGCATCAACTCACCCCTGCCCTATGTGGCAGGGAGCTTCTGCCCGGGCAGTGGGGTTCGCCCCGAGGCCCGTTCCGTGCCCCCGTAAGGGGGTACGACGACCCTTCTTCTTCTCTAAAAAGCTGTTTGTTAATAATATTTAATTTTTGGAAGTTAGAATTGTTTACTGTGTAGGTTGTATGCTTGCACGGAAAACATTTTTTACAGAAGATTTTCTCTGAACAGGAAGCAATCGTCTTGGATAAGCTGGCCTCTTGGATTCTTTTTCCAGAGCGTTGATCACGACTCTAACGATTTGCCACTGAGGTACGTTTTTAAGCCGTTCATAAACTTTTGAGCTATCTTCTATTCTACCTAGTATTTAATTGGTAGCAGATTAAAATAGATAAACTTTATTTGCGTTAAATACAATGTTTAAATTATTTTTAAAGATAAAAGAATGAGTAATTAATTAAATAGACATGACGAAATGACAAGTTGGCCTTTAAAAACATCGAAGTAGTACCTACTATCACGAATAAGATTAATACGATACTTAGATATCAAAGACAAACTAACTAAAATAATAGTGTATTCTAGGCACAGTTAATTGTATTATGTATATTTAGTAACGATTTCTAGTAATAATAAATATTAATGTGTTTGGAAAACATTTGATAAATGTAAAATACATTGTGTTGAAGTATGAAAATAGCGCGAGTGACAAAGAAAAAATGAGAGTCGATGGTTATTGGGATGATTATCAAAAATACCCTGGGTTTGAAAGTAGATGGTAATGTGAGGAAGGGGGCGTACCGAAAAGACTTTTGTGCATAATGCGAGTTTTATAACGAAAGTAAAAGTTAATTCAAATTTGTATGGAGTTGGAACGTTTGCCGCTAGGGGCGCTGTTCTAACTGCATACAAATTTGAGTTAACTTTTACGCTATCGAGAACGTTAAAAAACTCACACTAAGCACACTGGATGGACTGTGTGAAAGAGGCTTTGCGAGAGAATGTCAGTGCAGAGATGACGTATCATAGGCCTGAATGGAAAAAAAAGATATGCTGCGCCGACCCTACAAAGTGTGGGGATAAAATGAGGAAAAAGAAGGAAGATTTACTGTAGACCTTTAATAAATCATACTCATCCTACGATGGTGGATAGAGAGCTTAATGTGTACCAATATTGGTATAATTTATACCAGGGAAACTTACTTGCCGATTTCATGGAGAAGAAAGAATTATTTATGATGAACTCTTTCTTCAGAAAACGGGGTCACAGGAAGTGGACCTGGATGAGCCCCAATAGTGCTATCAAAAATGAGATTGATTTCATTATGTCGCATGTGTACAAAGACAACGAATTAAAACAATCGACAATTAAAGTTTTAACTGATTTAAGTCTGGCAGCCTTAGAGTATGCATTATGTAGGTATACTCTAAGCTGGCAGCCTTCCACAAAGGCCTAAATAATACACAATTTGGGGGATATTTTGAAAAAAGTAATGCTATAATTCTCTTATCATCTCGGCAACCACGAAAACATGTTATTTATTATGTAATCATGATAATTTATAGATTTCGTCATCTCGACACGATGGTGAGGTTGAAGAGTCCCGGAGCAAGTCGTCGGGGCTCCACGCCGTGCGCCTCACCCGAACATCGGGCCTCGTCGCCTTCCAACAATCACTAAATGGCATTTAAACTTTTTAGAAAACCTTTGAATTCATTGTACTTATTCCTGTAATACATACTTACTGAAGCATCTAAATGTTTTTTATTCGAACTTTTAAACAACTTTAGGTAGGTACCTAAATGTCGCTCTTTAAAGTAATTCTTATTTTTTTATTGATTAAAAATAGTGGCAATCTTCGGACGTCGGTAAAATATTGTTAGATGCCATAAAACGACCGAGGGAACCGGTGGACGTGTCGCCGTCGGCCGCCGGTCGGACGTTTGGGGATCGGCGGGAGGGATGTAATATGCTCTGCGTCGACCTTGTTTTGCCGTCTCAGTTTTTAGTGAGGGTCAACTTCCATATACCCGCGCTGCGGGTGGGAATCCGGTGATTTTCTCATGTGGAAAAAAATTGCCATAAAACTAAATAAAATTATATTAACTCCTTATTTTGTGTACTTTTTTACAACCGATAGCACGTTAACTTGGCTCCCAGATTATCCAAATTTTTTTCACAATGCCATAAACTGTTTCTATGTTTATGGCATAATTGCTGTTGATAATATACAGCTAATACTATGCTAGTAAGTAAGCAAGTTTTGATTTTCCCTTCACCGTTTCTTATTAACTATGGTGATATTGCATTGCACCTACCACTATTTACTCTGCACTACACCTTTGGTTGACTGGTAGAGATTGCCTTAGGCATTAAGTCCGCCAATGTAAATTTTACATGAAGTGTAATAAATAAATAAATATTTTTCCAAGCTGTGTGCTTAGTGCGAGGTTTTTAACTTCTCGATCGCGTAAAAGTTAACTTAAATTTGTATGGAGTTGACCGCTAGGGAACGCTGACATTCTTAATAAACCTGATCATCTTCATAATAACTGCTTTCAATTTATCTTAAGTATATACCCGACGTTTCTGCATATTCTTTACTCTATTCTGATTTCCACTCTCCTTCCGATGTAACTCTCTACTTTCAACTTTTTACAGCAGTTAAGCGGTCCCTATGTATAACCAACTAATATCATAAGTTATTTTATGAAAGACGTTTCCCCTTTAACTAAGAGTTTGGCAAATTCTGTAAGTCTAGTTTTTTATTATTTTTTATTATTGCCCTAGTAGGCAGACAAGCATACGGCCCACCTGATGGTAAGTGGTTATCGTCGCTCATCGACGTCAGCAGATGCCAGAAGCAGAGCCAAGCCGCTGCCTACCGCTATGTTTTTATATTTAGACAAGCTACAACTATTTATTACTGGTAGGTAGGACCTCTTTTGAGTCCGCACACCTACCCGTGCGCCACCACCCCGCCTATTTCTGCCGTGAAGCAGTAATGTGTTACGGTTTGAAGGGCGGGGCAGCCGTTGTAACTACACTGAGACCTTAAAACTTATATCTTAAGGTGGGTGGCACATTTACGTTGTAGATGTCTATGGGCTCTAGTAACCACTTAAAACCAGGTGGGCTCAAATTACTAGTTTATTAAGGTATTGTGATTTTTACATTGATCTCTAATACGTAATATTGATTTTGATACATAATATTAAGCATACATAATACAACTACACTAAGACATTCTTTATTTATCGTCTTTGATCTTTTGAACATTCCACGACCCACCTGATGGTGAGTGGTTACCATCTGTGCTGGATGTCAAAAATGATAAGTAAGCGCGCTACCTATCAATTTAAATTCAACTCGTATATTAAAATGAAAACCTTGATAGATGGATTTTGAATGATTTAATTTGTGACCAAATTAAACTTGGCAATCTATATGCATAAAAATTTATTGGTATTCATTAGCTTAAAAATAATAAGATCCTTATTTTAATTTTTGGAACAAAGCGAATTTAAGTTATTTGTTAAATTATATTACTTTCACTTTATTGGACAGCCTTCGGGCCAATGTTCAATGTTTCAAAATATTGAGCTTATTAAAGAAAATATATTTTATGAAGTTAAAAGTTCTTAAGAGAAATATTAACGGAATACAATTTGTTTGAGCATGATATAAAACATTTCCTCTTTGAAAACGATAACTTTTATATAGTACGATGTTCTCTCTATGGTTATTTTATTTATCCAAAAGACGAATTAAAGCCACAGACTGTAAAAATAAAGTAAAAGCGCGACGATCAGTAACTGTGGCTCATCTATAATGCTGTTTTCTCATAAAAATAAATTTGTAACTTTAAAGATAATTTACAATATTCCACACTTCCGTATTAAACACTAATCTGATGGAAGATTGTGTGATTTAACAGTTCCATCCCATCCGACTGAATGAAGTTTTCTCTCATTTATATCCCAAGCAACTCCTCTCACTAAGTTAGTGTGCGAGTTGTTGCGGTAAATTATTTTAGCTTTGTCATCCACTGGTATATTGCATACTGTCAATGTTGTATTATCACAGCATACTGCTACTTTGTCATTCCTGAAAGAAGTTTTTATTTATACAACCTATTTGTCCTCTCTCAACTTAGTTCTTCGCCAATCAATAAAGTATTGTAAAAAAAAAATTTGAAATTTATTGAATAAGACAGAACTTTAAAACTTACTCAGGATTGAGGAAAATTTTGTGAACAGCTGCTGGAAATTCAAACAATTTCAGTGTGGAGTCCACATATCGAATATCTACTGAATATAACATTCCTGCTTCATCTCCGAAAAGTAATTTGTTTTCATCTACCCACTGCAAACATCGGATACTGCAGTCATTCTTTGTTATATCTATCAGAAAGAAAAATATATGTTCTATTTTTTGCCATCTGAGCTGAATGGCACTACGGTGAAGTACCATTTAGCACGGCCATATCGTTAATTACCGAAAAGAACTCTTTCTAGAAATTTCTAAGTTTTGAAACAGTGAATAAAGGAACTTATTTCTGAGCTATAAGGTATGCTGTTTGTAAATATTTAATTAATATGTTTGCTTCTGCTCTTAAATAGCAAATTAAAAAACATGCACATTAAATAGGTGTTAAGTATACATACATATATATAGTACACAATATGTAAAGAAATATGTGTATTATATGAAAATCCGTGAAACAATAACTGAAATCTATTGGAATAAAATTGGTCAAAATTTGTTAATAAGCAGTTTTGAGAGTATTATTCTTGAGGTTCTTATTTAAGACTTAATACTAACCTAAAACAGCTTTATCAATATTCTCATCCCACAAAGACATATATTCATCCATAGATGCTGTGGCAAATGTTGTTGTTGATTTTGGCCGAACTGATACTCCATATATTTGTTTACTGTGTGCTGCCTTGTAATTTCTAACACAAGTCATCTCTTTCACATCCCATATCTGAAAATTAAATATAAATAGCATTATGATAGAGAGCATTGTGATTCAGAGACTTAGGTTTTTCAATCTGTATTTGATTGTCCACTTAGTTAAATTTGATAGTGAGTAATCTCAGTCACTGAATGATTTCATCAAAACTAGGTACATAGCCAAGAAGCTGCCTACCGATAGACATTACATGTATTGAAAAGTTGCTAACACGTTCTGCTGCTGATATATTTATTACCTTATACACTAAACTAATTCGTTAATGAGAGACAATACAAAGAAACCGTCTTAGACAGTATTAACAATTAACATAATAACATGCACGTTTGGACAAATAGAAAATTCAGTTTTAACAATTTCTAAATATTATTAAAAAATACCTTTGCATTCCCATCAGCCCCTACTGTCACATATTCAAAGCCAGGTTCCAAACAGTCTATAGCCATAATAGAGTCATCATGCTCTGCTACTGACATTTCTTTTACCCGTATTGACCATGCATTATCTTCTTGATTCTTTTTGGAGAAAATACTCATTGAACCATTGTCTTCACATATTATGACCTGTAAAATAGATATATATACCCATAATAGATATAGATTTCAGCAGTGAAATGTATGAATTTCAGTTTGGATATAGGATATGTGCATGACTCGTAAAGGTTATTTCTGCAACTGATAAAATTATGTGGCAGTGATTATAATGTGAGGAAAATGCATAACATGACTGAACCAGGAACAAAATTCATCCCATAAAAAAGTATTTTACTGATATACTTATGTGTAATTGCCATGTTATATCCATTTATCTATACCAATTCAATGGCTTATCAAGTTTTGTACTTTTTTTTTAGCTAGACTTTTGAATATAAAATAATAATAATATACAATCTTGATACTTTAAAGGGAAAACTTATGGTTACATTATATGTAAAACCAGCCTTTGCCAGATTATTTTATTTAATTAAATTGTTCGTCTTGATTATTTTTTTAATTCATGCCAGCTGAATTTATCACTAATTTTCACACACGATTATTGCTGACAAGGCTATTGATAACATGCACAATTTGAAAACTTAAATGTTCCAATTTTGTCATTAAAAATGGTGACCATAAAATAGCTAGATATTGTTTAAATAATAAATATTACATACATACTATTATGACTATGACAAACAATTATAATGGAATTAATTTATTTTCTTACTTTTTGCAATCAGAGGATCTTAAGGCAGTGAGCACTCTTGTAAATGTCCACTGAAAATTATTCTTGAATAATAGTGACACAGTCATGTATTCTTTGAGTGACAATTAAGAATGTTTTACCATAGTGGCAGATCGGCTATAGCTGCTACTCACATCATGTTTAATTACTTTTGTTTTATCCGATCCTAACTGTTAATGACAAAGACTATACTCTAGTGGCAATTTTGGTCATATCATGTTTATTAATCTAATAGATTAAGACTATAAAAACGAATACGTATTTAATTAAATTCACCTTATCAGAATTTTCCATAAAACAGCCATCAGCAGTACCGCTTGTAAGCCACAAATCTTTATTTGTTTCATTTACATTTTTTGCTTCACCAACATTTTTGAATAGGCTAGCTGCCCCAGTCCAATAACGGCCAGTTAATTCTGAACATCCTATAAATACTGTACCATCTGCAATCAAACAAATATTTCCAATTGAAAGGATTTATTTAGTAGTCTATTGAAATTTTTTGACACATAATGGAATCTGTGATGTATTTTATCTTATAAGTGAATTCTTCTTTTTATCAGTTGATTTAAGGGGTTAAATGAATAGGAAACGTTTCAAAAACATAAAAAATATTTTAGTTTACCAGCGTGTATGCGTATGTATTCTAAGTAGGCAAAAGAACTGGTTCCAGTCGTATCAGTACGGTACACTTCGGCATTCAGATGTGGTGGCACAATTTTATTACATTGATCCATTTTAATCTACAAAAAAATTATATCTAGATTATCTACTGAAAATTACAAATTTAAAATTACGAGTTACAAGCACAGAGCAAATACAAAACACATTTTTTTGTAGGTAATTTTTCGGCCACTGGCTACAACACCTTAAAGCTTCAGTTTTTTTTTAAAATAAATAGCGTATATAGGTAATCATTGACCCCAACTGTTCTGGTGAAACCAGAAACGGCCGCGGACCATCTGTTATCTCTTCCTTCGAAATAAAATGAAATTACATTAGTTAAATGGTGGGAATTTACTTGTAGAGCTCAATGGGTTGTTTGGAAATTTGGTTTTTTCCCACTTGTAACAATGCGTTATAGATAGTAAATGCTTAATATCCCACCATCATTAAATGCTTAAATCTAAAAAATACTTAATTCAAATAAAATTTCTTCGCATTTTTGTCAATAGTCGCAATTTTATTTGTCCCTTAAATGTTATCTGGACATTTCTGGCCAATGGCTCTAAAGCCATTGACTTCCATTTTATTAAATAAAAAGCTTATATGTCATATTTGACAGATATTTTACAGTGAATATTTCAAAAAATTTACATTCTGAAACAATTTGTTTTCAAGAACTTCACTTTTCTCGAGTGGCAAACACGAAGTGAGTACATAACTTTACTAATTTATCTTGACTAATTTAATGAACAAAACGTATAAACAATAATACATGTATTAAAAAATCAACATATTATCGTTTCAAATTTTCCAAAAAGATTCCACAGTGACTTATTTGTATGTTTGTACATAAATGAAGTGTTATAGTTCCTTAATAGCCGAATAATATGTAAATTTCCAGTTGACATTTCATTATTTCAACATTATTTCCAGTTGTCATTATTATACAAAATAAATAGAATAAACGCTTAAAATGTTTAAACTGGAACTGATTCAAAATCTGGCCGGACACAAGGGTATAGTTTGGAATGTGTCGTGGCATCCACTTGGAAAATATTTTGCTTCTTGTGGTGAAGATAAAACTATAAAATTATGGAGTAAATCTGGACAAGATTGGGCGATTAAGACTGTACTTGTCGATGGACATCAGAGAACAATTCGGGAAGTAGCCTGGTCACCCTGCGGTAATTTCCTCGCTTCAGCCAGTTTTGATGCAACTACTGCAATTTGGGATAAAAAAAGTGGTGTGTATTTTTTCCTTGTGACCCTGTGAAGAATTTGTACACCCAAAATTAAAATGAGTAAACACTTTATAGGTGAATTCCAATGCAATGCAACTTTAGAAGGCCATGAAAATGAAGTTAAAAGTGTAGCATGGTCACCTTCAGGCCATCTCCTGGCTACTTGTGGAAGAGATAAGTCTGTTTGGGTGTGGGAAGTAGCTGGAGAAGATGAATACGAGTGTGAAGCTGTACTTAATGCTCACAATCAGGATGTGAAGAAAGTTAGTGCATGAATAAAAAAAAATGAGTTTGTGTTTCTTACATATAATGAATGGATAAATGATATTATTTTCTTTATAGGTTGCATGGCATCCTTCTCTAGATATCTTAGCATCAGCATCTTATGATAACACAGTAAAACTGTACCAAGAAGATCCTGTAGATAATGATTGGACTTGTGTTGCCACTCTACATTCACATGAGTCAACAGTTTGGAGTTTGGCATTTGATAAAACTGGAGAAAGACTGGCGACATGTAGTGACGATAGAACTGTAAAAATTTGGAAAGAATACAAACCTGATAATCAAGAAGGTGTTGTGGTGACTGATCGAGAGGCAGTCTGGAAATGCATATGTACACTCTCTGGATTTCACACACGATGTATTTATGATATTGCTTGGTGTCATAAAACTGACCTCATAGCCACTGCTTGTGGAGATGATATCATTAGAATATTTAAAGAGAGTGAAGATTCTGATCCTAATGCTCCCACTTTTGAACTTCTTTGTACAAAGAAAAATGCTCATTCTCAAGATGTAAACTGTGTAGCTTGGAATCCTTCAGGAAATCAAGAACTGCTTTCTTGTAGTGATGATGGAGAAATAAAAATATGGAAGTTTACAGAAGCTTAAAGTAACTAATTATTGACAGAATGATCAAATAGAAATGATCAAAAAATCTAACAAGGAGTGATAATAATTTTATATTAAGGTTATGCCACAAGACATTAGCTGTGATTGTATCTAGCAAGATATAAATGTATTGTAAATACAGTATAAGTTTCAATCTTTATAATAATTGTTGAAAACATGATTTAGTATTATTGTTCACGAACATAACCCAAATAACTAATAAAAAAAATAACAAAAACATTATAACATAGATAAAATGTTTTGGTATACACTGCACTGGCTTGCTGATATGTATTTAATCCATGGGCTTACATATTTTTTTTAAATATGAAAGCTTTGAAAATCTGACAATTATTATGAAATATCAACTTCTTTAGATTCAATCATTGAACTATACAAAATACCCACAGTCAGGTTTTTTTTGGTATAAGAAACAGTCTTATAATATTAATTAACAAAACACTAAAGTACTATATTATTACACAATATACCATATTAAACTATTACAAACCATATTAAAAATTACAAGTGGCATTATAAAATTCCAATTTATAAATTAAACATCAGTTAATTGTTTTTATAATGGAGTAGTTAGTTTTAAAGATAAGGAAAAAGGAAATAAAGTTTGGATTAAAATAATGATGAAAAACAGCATTTATTATTTCTCTGAATCTTTTTAAAATGCCTTTTGGTAAAAGTTAATTTTTTAACAATGTTTTATTTCAAATTTATTAGTAAATTTTACATTTAAAAATTAAACTTCTTTCAGATATTACTAATGTTCTTTCAGTTAGGCAGGCACATTTTAAAGTCAAGAAATTCAAGGAATCACTTGTTCACACATTTTATCAAAATGTCAACTGAGAAATTCTGTGCAGTGTCTTTGGAAAAAGTAGTAACAGTACTTGAAAAATTTGCTCCAAAAGAATTGGCAGAGAGTTGGGATAACACTGGTTTGTTGGTGGAACCTTACACACCGAGGTATGAGCAAATTTATTCTTGACTACAAATACCCACTAGCAGTAATAAAAAAAAATGTTTTTCATTTAAAATTATGTACTATTATAATAATTATATTAAGGTAGCTACTGCCTCACATAGAAACTGGTAATGACAGAGATGCTAACTAAGCCTTACTGTGTATTGCTAAAGACTTATTGTAGAGGATTACACAGAATTGGCCGTGTGGTGTCCGTGTGGTGTGGCCTCGATAAAGAATAATACCGCCCCTTCTCCTCTCGTGGGTGACGTAAGAGGCGACTAACGGATTATCCAGAGAATGGGCGGCAACGTTCTCTGATTATCATAACAGCATACTACGATCGCCAACCCGCATGCCAAGCGTGGCGATTATGTCAATACGATTAAAACCGGAAGTGATCATCGGGTGGTAAGAGGCACATTGAACCTCAATAAACCTTGAGAGATTCCGAGTTATGAGGTCTACGCTCCGTCCAGCACCAGCTCAGATCCAAAGTTCTAGACACTTTCAGCTCGAACTTCAAAACCGCTTCGAGTGCCTAGGAGGCTCCGTGGACGATTACAATAACGGGTTTGTGAATGCTGTCCATACGATCGGTTCCAAGATTTTTGGAACCCGTCGTGCAAACAGAACCAAAAAACTCTCAGACCCTACTTTCAAACTCATGGAAGAACGTCGCGAGATGATTTTGCAGTCTTGCAGAGATGTTATTTCTCCGAAACTATTTACCGCTGCGTTGGAAGACATTTTCAAAGTTCTGAACTGGAAAGGGCTAGCATAAACATCATCGGCGAGTACATAGTTCGCCGACGATATTGTGACTATGGCCGAGACCTTGGAGGACCTTAGTACAATGCTCAAAGACCTCAGTAGGGCTTCTATCCGAGTGGGCCTGAATATGAACATGGAAAAAACAAAAATTATGTTGAATGTTCATATAGCGCCCACTCCAGTAAAAATTGGAAGCTCTACGCTCGAAGTTGTTGACGAGTATATTTAACTGGGACACACTGTCCTGCTAGGTAAGTCCAACTTCGAAAAAGAGGTCAATCGTCGAATCCAGCTTGGAACGCTGCCTGCGTTCGGAAAGCTACGTAAATCTTCTCATCACAAATACCACAGTGTCTCTAGACGAAAGTCTTTGATCAGTGTGTGTTGCTCTGAAATGTGGTTGCTCACAATGGCCCTTATGAGAAGGCTCAAGGTCACTCAAAGAGCAATTGAGAGGCTATGCTTGGAGTTTTCCTGCGAGATTAAATCAGAAATGAGGAGATTCGCAGGAAAACCATGGTAACCGACATAGCCCAAAGAATTGCGACGTTGAATTGGCAGTGGGCAAGGCACATTGCTCGTAGAACGGATGGCCGTTGGGGCCAGAAAGTTCTTGAGTGGCGACCGCGTACCGGAAGACGTAGCGTAGGCAAGCCTCCCGCAAGATAGAACGACGATCTATTGAGATTCGCGGGAATCTGCTGGATGCAGGCAGCGCAGGACCGGTCTTTGTGGCGAGACTTGGGGGAGCCCTGTGTCCAGTAGTGGACGTCTGTGGGCTGATAAGAAGAAGAAGACATAGAATTGATAGATAAGTTATAAGTATTAAAGTTATGATTACCTTCATGCTTTGGGTTGAAATTGTATGTGCTTTGAAGTTTCAAATTATAAACTGTCAATTCAGCCGTATGTAGAGTACCTATATAAAATATATAGGCTAAAGTATCTCTTTGAATAAAGCCAATGATGACATTATTTGAGGATTACCAAACATGTTTGATTAAAACATGGGTATATAATTATTTTTCATATATAATTATATTATATTATTTCATTGAAAATTGGTTTTCTGTAATCAGCTAACCTATTCCTCGAAAACCTTTTTAATAAAAATAAATAAAATTACATGGCCAATGCCCATTGCATTTTTGCGAATCACAAGATTTAAAAAATACAGTCTATTCTCAAACACAACCAGTGTGGAATAAAAGTCACTCCCCTGTTATAGAAAGATCTATACAGAACACAAAGTGAGGATGCAACTATAATATGAGTTGATGATGTAGAAGTGGTACCAGCTAAAGTCAAATGCCTGTAAGTTCAGATATATAGTCGCCAAACTTATAAAAATACTTTAAATAAATTTCCATTAGTTAATTTGACAAATTTAAATTAATTTTCTTTATGTTTTTAATTATTTAAAATATAATATTTTTTTATAATTTTCAATTCCAGACAAATAACCAAAATTTTGCTAACTAACGACTTAACAGAAGATGTGGCCTTGGAAGCTGAAATTCTGGCGTGTGAGATGATTATTTCATATCATCCTCCGATATTTGCGCCTTTGAAGTCTATTGTTCAGCGGTAATTATTTATATAGTTCTAGTCACACGTCTTTGACGCTATTTATCACTTTGTCAGCATAGTATCCATATATTTTATATTATCAAATGAAGGTACAGTCAAACCTGGATAAGCGAGAGTTCAAGGGAGCACAATCTCATTCTCGCTTATAGAGGTTTCTCACTAACCCGAGTTTCTCGCTAATGCTCCCTCTGAATTTCGATTCGCGATTTTCCGCATTCAAATGCATTCACTATTTTAAGTTTATGACTTTAATGACAGTACTTTAATTTTCCGTTTTTACATGATACAGAACAGAACTTTCCTTCGCAATTGATTAACGATAATCTGAGTAAGTCAGACAAACAGGACCGGTACACAGGCACACGTGTCCATTCGAAAAGAATGCGATAAAATAACAACGTTATTTAGTTCCATTAAATAGAATAGTTTCAATATTGACGAGAAAACAATACAAAAACAATGGTAGGAAGTTCCACGAAAGTTAAGAATAAGTCATAAAATAGCAGATGTTAAATTTGTAATTTGTTTTGTCATTTGTTCCTCCTAAATAATATAAATAAATAAAGTTCGACTGTCGCTTATAGAGGTATAGATACGTAGCAGTCTCACTTACGGAGGTCCATGAGGGAAAAACGACTCTCGCTTACAGAGGTTTCTGTTTCTCGCTAATAGAGGTTTTGGGAGCTTAAAATGACGGGTCCTTGCTATTACTCTCACTTATAGAGTTTTCTTACTTATCCAGTTCTCACTTACCCAAGTTTGACTGTATTAGTTATGGCTAAAATCACGGTGGACTATACGTCTGGGAATTGATTATTTAAATGCCACAAATCACGGTGGCAAAAGTGTACCGTCTGTAAAATTGTAAATCTGAAGATTACCTATCCATACTAATATAATAAATATAAAAATGGTATACACATTGTGCGTAGAATAGAAAAGGACTGAGAATACCTTGTATTTAGACTTGTAGTGTACTATTCCCGAGGGATATTTTTTATACAATAACGCTAGCCGAAACTATTTTAATAGAATGTTATAATTATATTATATTATTATATATTTATATTATATAACTATTACAAGACTTTAGATCAAGTCTATTTACAACTTGGCGATTTCAAATATGTATTTTTTACAGTTCGTGGAAAGAACGGGTTGTGTCTTATTTATTAGAAAAACGAATCGCCCTGTACTCGCCACATACTAGTTGGGATAGTGTGCAAGGCGGGGTCAATGACTGGTTGGCATCTGCTTTCTTTGTCGCAGAGTCTAAGCCAATTTTACAATCAAACAACCCCGACTTCGGAGCCGGCAGGTAAGCTATGTTAAAAGTTCGCCCAATGATAAGAATTTGATCGCAAATACTAACATCATAATGTTTGCATTAATTAAATGTAATTATTATTGTATTATTGTAAAATATTTTTTTGATTTTCGTCGCTGTCAAACCAAAATCTGCTATGTGCAAAAACTCTATTTTGAATTAAGGAGTAAAAACATTTTCGTATAAAATTTTATATGAAGGTGATTTTTTAAGAACTATATCAAATGAAAGCTATATATAAATATTAAAGCTATAGACACATAACTGTTTTTTTTATAAAGCAGATAGGGCTGTGAACTATACGAAAAGGTCAAAAAGTAAAAATCTCAAAAAGTGCACAGCAGATTTTGGTGTGACAGCGACGTTTTGCTATTTTTTAAGTTTGACAAACAGACAGGAGAGTGGTACTTATTTGATTTATTTGATATAAATATTATGGATTCTAAGGAGTCTTCTTTGAAATAATCGCCATCTTCGGTATTTACCAAAGAGTTTCGGTTGCAACGGTCGCAACATTTAGCACTAGTACGCTTTACACGTTGGGTCAGGAGACATCGGCTTTAATTAATTGAGAATATTTTTTTGTAGATTACTACATTTGAGCACCGGAATCCCATTATCTGATGCAGTAAACAGAATTAAGGAACTGACACGACTCTCCCATGTCCGCATCGCTGTCGCAAAGGGAAAGTCTATGACGCACACCATTCAGAGGGTAGCGTTATGTGCCGGATCCGGAAGTTCAGTACTAAAGGGAGTCGATGCTGATCTTTATTTGACAGGTAGTCTATTATAGTATAATAAGCTGATAAATTCTATTAAATTGATTAATATTTCATATTATTAAATGAACATTTAAATCACTTTAAAACATTATGTATAGGGAGTAAGGTAGATTCTTTTCGAACGATCGTCATTATATTATGCAGGGTGGGAACACTGATAGGCGTCCAATAGGGAAAAAGGTGCTACCTGTAAGTCTGACTGATTTTGTTTCGATGAATAAGAAATGAATAATATTATTGGCTAAAGAAGTACCTAGAATCTCATTACAATTTATTCAGATATTTTCGATAAGCATACTTTGTTTAGCGTTTTAACGAAAAACATGCAACAATATAATGATAATCTATTTAATTAAAAATGTATTATATAATAAGTATACTTTTATGTCGTACATCTTATACTTACACATTAATGCTTTAAATTATATTAACTTGGACAAGAAGTACGTCACCGATATTTGGGCCTAACAGAAGTAGCATACCCGTCGCTCTGAGGATTATCTAAAATTTCATATGTTATTATGATTATGTTTGTGATATTTTATCGTATAAAAATATGATATAAATGAAACAACTAATAAAATCACTCGTTTTGGAGCTATTTCTGTGCCCAAATAAAAAAATCATCTAAAGTGATGCTGACCTCTAAATGATGTATAATGAATTCTTTTTTTGCAGGCGAAATGCTTCATCACGACGTACTTGATGCAGCTCAAAAAGGTATAACAGTTATATTAACGAATCATTCGGACTCCGAAAGAGGGTTCTTACGAGAATTTGCAAAGTATTTACATAAAAATTTGAATGAAGAAGTTGAGGTTTTCGTAAGCAAAGTCGACAAAGATCCTTTGATAACTGTATAAAAAGTCTGCTAGACGTACAAATGAAGATAAAATTAAATAGGTAGTTAGTGTAAGAAATAAAAGAAATATTAAATATAGTTATGTTTTATTTAACCAAATACGTGAGCGTACTTGGTTGTATACTCCAATCAAATTGGTTTGTTAAAATAAAGTTGCGAGATCATCTTCCTTATTCTATTTAAGTACACTCCATATGTAACTCTACATTCTAAAGTTTGTCCACTTGGTCACTGTATTTAGCTTACAATATCTGGCAAGACCTTTCTATATAAACTTTCGTTTTCACATTTTTATCAGCTTTTCTCTTTCTACTCGTTAGTTTTTGATGATCTGGAAGTTGCACTGAAATATTTCCATTTTAAATGAAGGCCGGTTATATTTGTGTTAGAGCGTTCATTAGTGGCATGCATACAGCTTACTTTCGTAGCGCTATTTTGTTTATTGTTTTAGGTTTTAGTATCTGCCCTTTTGGACTATCTAAGATTTCTTTTGAGATCTTTTTCTTTCTATAACTACCCCCTGGGCTGGTTGTAACTTTACAAACCGAGGACACTGTTCCATTTTTGTCATCATAGTTAATAACATACTCACGTCGCCTTGGAGATTTGGATCTGTTTCGTTTTGAATTTATATCCTTATGTTCGTTTTTTATTTGTACAGATTTCATTTCGTATACAATTGTGTTTTGATCCATTTTCTTTAGTGGATCTGATTCCTTGGATGTATCTTTAGAACTCTTCTTATTTTTATCGTATCCCGCAGATTTTTTCATAACTGGTTGTGATTCTTTTTTGCAATTATCGTCAAGTGTTTTTTTTGTTTCATTTCTATCTGGACGACAGGGCGAAGATGACGTTCGATTTTCAACTTTCGACCTTCTAGGCGTGGATACTTGCCGTACACTTTTGAACGAAGTTTTATGCGCCGCTTCAAGATCTTTTTCATTTTCCATTTTACCTACATTGTCACCTTTATGTGGTTCTCTGGTTTCACTACGCTTGTTTGTGGTCTGTGAAATCCTTCTCAAACTGCCTATCCCATTGGTATTTTGTGAACTTGACTTTGTATTTCTGTCATTATTGCTAAATTTCGATGTCTTAACGTCTTCGCTTTTTTCCTGTCTTTTTACACAAGTCTTCCTGGTAGGAACTTCTGGTGTTATTGACGTTTTAGGCTTTAGTTTATTTTTGTCATAAATAATATTAGATTCCCGTCCTGGATGTAGGTTCTCGTAAATAGGAATCATTTCTTCTATTTTCTTAGAACGAGGGGTAGCAATTGTCACTTGGCTTTCCACAGCTTCTCTAACTGTGCGATTGATAGATCTGAAATAAATAGATTATATCTATGAAATATTTTTTTGTCAAAACTAAATATTGGACTTTTCTGGTACGGCACACGGTTTAATCGAATAGATGGGAAAATACGCCATGGTTATTTGGTAAGAATAGAAGATCAATCATGCTTAATTAACCTCCTAATTCTGGTCTAAGAATGACTGGTAAGATGTGCTGCAAAACCGCACGAGTGGTACAATCGCCGCGTTTATTTCTACTGTGAAATTATTGTGCGTTCGTTTTGAAGAACTTAACAGCATTTTATTACGCAGACATATACTATGTATATTATTATCTTATCTAACTCTTTAAGGGGTTGAACAAACCCTGCTACCCTTAGGATCTTTTGTATATATTTTTGTTTTTAAGTTTTGTACTCATTCCAGATCATTAAAAATATTCGTTTCAAACTTACCGCGATGGCGTATTTGCTCTCAATGACTGTTTGGAATTTGAAAAAGCTTTGTCTCGTTTCGGTGGTTCAGATAGGCTTCTATTAGCAGATGCTGTATGTTCTTGCCTTCTAGACTTTGAGCGTCGCATTATAGATTTTACATAATCATTTGTTTCAGAACGTTCATGTTCAATAATTGGCTTTAGTACTTTGACTTCGTGGATTTCGTTAGGTTTATCTTCATATCTTGTACGAAGTCTAGGCTTAGGAACTGGGATATAATTGTTGGTAGCATGAAAGTTTTGATATTCAGGTACGTCATCAGATTCAGCTTCACTATTGCAAACGCTGTTTGAGACTTGCTGAATTAGTCTAACAGATTGAAATATATCTTCTATAGCAGAATCGTCTGATAGATTACTTTTATATATTTTTGATTCAGTCTCTTCCTTTCTTTCCTTATTTACTCCGAAATACGTTAAGTCACTTTCTCGTAATTGTCTTGCTTTTGTCCTGTGATCATTGGAAGGAGAATGTGCAGACTCGAATTTTGTTCGTAACAAGTCTGTTTTGTTTAATGTTTCCACTTCTTTCAGAGGTGTTTTGATTTGTTGCGAAATTGGCTCGGTAGCAAAGACATGATTCTTGTTTATTGTGGGACCTAAAACATTAAAAACGTCTGTGCTTAGTAATAGTCTGTGTCAAGTGATTAGTACCTACATTGATTTTTATCAACTCGAGAAATTGGCATTGGTTACTGTACAGAAATAAATCCAACCATAAAGAAAACCACTGTACAAGCCTGTAGTAAATATTAAAAATAGATCAGGATTGTATCAAATCCTTTGATTTTGAAAACGAAACCCCTTGATTTAAATATTCAACTCTCTGACAAAACCATTGTTTTGTTGGATTAATGTAGATAGACTGTACTGTGTGCAATATCGCGAATTCATGACCTATGAAAATCCTGGTAAGACCATATAATAGTGTGTATCTATAATGCACACATCCGTAAAAGTTTAAAACAATTCGTAAACTAGGTTAGTTTTTATATTATTTTTTTATTTTATTTTATTTATTTTAATTATAGGGAGAGGACCTTGGGTCAGGAATGCTGAATACCAATTTAAAGAGTTCACAAATTATTTCCAGGATAAATGAAAATAAAATCCTCTGTGTCAGAAGATCTTAAATGATGAACTATTTATTCAGCTATCAGAAAGTCACATGGCCCGGAGAACCTCGAGCTGGTCCTTGTAACTTAACACCCCTGTTAGTTCACGTCCTGTTTTTTAATTAAATTACTACCAAGTAGGTTTGATCTCGGACAAGAGGGTCCTGCTGTTAAATAAATCTATACCTATTAATCTGAATTATTTTAAGTATACATACCGTGCCGAGCATAGAAAATGGAATTAGAGCAAAAAGAACGAGTGTTGCCTATTTAATATCTATCCATCAAGTTGGAAATTTAGTTAAACAGCTTTGCTAATCCAGCAAGACATCCTTCAGAACTCTTAGGAACGAAAGCTAGAGCTTCGATACGAAATAAAGGGAGTAGAATTTGGAAGAATCCTAGAGCAGGATAAAAAAAACTGATGGGATGTACGATAAAATAATAGCAGAAATTGGTGGGACTGGGGTTGATATCTTTTTAGATTCCACTCAAAACAATAAGTTGATACGTTATGTAAGATGAATGAATTCGGAATTACCTTCATTTGCTGTCCAATTTTTTTTACTTTGACTAGGTTTGCTATTTTTCGATGAGTCCGTTGAGTTAATTAAGTCATCATAAATCCCTTGCGGCTGAAGTTGTTTATTAATCAACGACACTGCTTTTAATACTGTAGCGGGTTCACTATTAATGATTTCATTCGTCACATCATTCGCTGACCCAAATGCCATGTTCTCTCCCAAGAGATATGGTTTGGGTTTCGGAATCTTATTTTTGAGAATACTTTTTGTAGCTGCTGTATTCTCATCAGTTTCGACATAATCACTTATCGAACTACTTAATATATCTTCTAACTTTTCTTGGTTGGATATAACGGTGGTCTTTTCCCCAAATAATGTTATTGGTTTGTCTACCATTTCTATGGGAACAAAAACACTCCGTCTTTTTCGGAAGTCGTTTGATGGCGGTGGTTTATCATCCGTTGCAATAATGTTTACTTTTCCTGATTCTGCCGCAAAATGTAGTTCAGTTTTACAGAATTCCACTTTTTTCACTTTTCTTTGGTGATCTTCACTACATTTTTCGGTTTTGTTGAATAAAGAAGCTTCATCGTATGTTTCAATCTTAGTTGGTAAAGTTATTGAAATTTTTCCAGTTGATTGTAATACTATATTGCTTTCTACAGGATCCTCGATAACAACATCATGTTCCCAAGACGGTTTGAATTTATTACCTTTGTAATAATTGTTCGATCTGTTTTTGGCAAGCCAATCTTTAAAACATTCATCGTGACTATTATTCTGAATGTTTTTTCGCTCAAACGGTCTTGAATGCGTGCTTTCTTCTACATGATCGTTCACAATTTCCGTAGATTTGCAAATACCACTGTCCGTTGAAGAGTCCATGGCAAAAGTATCATTACTGTGTACTTTAACTTCATCCAAAGAAATCTTCGTATCTTCAAAGCTATAGCTTTTCCTGCGGTTGTTCCAATCGCTACTGTTATTTAAAAGTGATTTATATTTTAATGTGTTTAAAGTCACAGGAGCATCCAAAAGAGGCGAAACCCTGGACGCAGTTTTTTTGTTCCATTGAATATCGCTGCTTTCTGAATCGTATGAGTACTTCCTGTGCAAAAGTCGACTGTTTTTCGGATCTAAATCAATAATACTAGCATTGTCGGTGGACGAAGACTCTTCACTAGGCATTCGGATTGAGCCTGTTCCTCGGGAACCTCTCCATTTAGAGGGTTCAGAAATCTCTAAGTCGTCTGGCTCGGTCACTTTATATGTATCTGGTTCAACTTGGGAATCATGCGACTGCTCCAGTGGAGTTGATGATATTTCCAAAGGAATAGCTGAAATTGATGGTATCGAAGGTGGATCCGTAAAGTTATAACCAGATGAAATAACCTGAAAATAATATGTTTTGTCAGGTACTGTGTATATTCTATTATTGCAGAATAAAATAAAATAAAATGAAAAGACTCCTCACTGCTTAATTAGGTGCACTCATAGTTAGTTCCCTTAAGCTAAAATTGTAGTAAAAATTAAAATGAGTAAATAGACGACTTTATCGCAATAAAGGTTTTTTTTTCTTAAAAGATCGATCGAATTCACGACCAATTTGCTGTTAAGAGGTTACCTGATACCAAAAACGTCATAACGTGCATGCTGTCATCCAGCTTGAGACCAGATTCTGTATCTCAATTGTATATGCAAATTACTATTTAATTTTTGAAGGTTCTATTTTTATTGTTGTTATTCCTTCGTCGTAGATGTCATTCGTGAACACGAGCTATGTACTATTTCTTTAGGAATAATTGGTATCTGCGGGATTTGAACACTGACACAATCTCACCGCTGAATAAAAATACATCAGGCGTCCTAAGCTTTAGGCCTTTAACTTAAAGCCTAACATTTAACAAGAAAACATTTTTTTTCATCTAACAAGACGTGTGAATCGCGAAGGAACTCAAAATTAATTTTGAAGTGGATCATGAAAGGAGAATAGAATACGTTCATCTACATCAGGTAATGTAGAAATACATAAACCTTTATATAAAAAAGAAAGTTACCCTTCTTGAAGAGTGCATCATGTACGATGAAGCTGGTATTCCAGGTCCAGCAGACGAGTGATAAGAAGCACGCATAACACGGACGCGAGCTCCGGGACCGGTGGCATTTAAAACCTCCATAGCTCGGGCTATTTGACGTGTGACTCCGCCTTCTGTCACCTGTTAAAATAAATATTTAAATCATAAATGTTTCTAGATTTAACAAATCAATTACGCAGCGAAGGCGAACATGTTCTTTTTATTTTGGGAAATAAATTACGTTCGCTGCCATTAATTACGGAAGGGGTGGAGTCTGGTTTTTTTATTTGCTGTAAATAGGCTAGTGTTTAACAGTGTGACAGTAATGTGGTTCGTGAAAACAAACATACGTCAAAATCACTCGCGATTCAAGGCGCGACTGATCATAAATAATACACTTATAATTCCACCAAGAATCGTGAGCGATATGAAGTTGATAAATAAATAAAATTATACAGAACAATAACAGAAAAAACCTTATTTATTTATGCCTCTTTGTTTAGTCCATCGTGTTGCGGCCAAGGCGGCCAAACCACTTTCGTGTCCCTCAAAGACTCAAAGCAAACTTGTCCGGTAATGTTCTGAACCAGATGGTGACATCATCAACGTACTTGTCTTTTTCAATCAACTTCACCTTTAATTTATACACTTGCTTTAGTCAGCTTTGTTCTATTATCAAGTACCTACTTTCGAAACGGTTAAAAAGATTCTTTATTTAGATCATATAAGTGTAATATTAGTAGCAGCATACGAGTAAGTAGTGTGTAGTAAGCGCTTCTGCAAAACTTGGGGCTTTTTACCTACGCCTGTAGACAAACAAGTGCACGTTTATCGTATTGTGTGCTTAATGCGAGTTTTTCACGTTCTCGATAACGTAAAAGTTAACTCAAAATTTTATGGAGTCAGAACGTTTGCCTACGTTTGCCGATAGGGGCTGCATATAAATTTGAGTTAATTTTTACGCTATCGAGAACGTTAAAAAACTCGCACTAAGCACTAAGCAATCAACGACATTACCCTTGTTCATTTACTTAAGTATTATTGTAGTCACTATGGCTCACTCCAGAATATATTATTTAACTAGTCTTTTTTTTGCTACCTATGCTAGTAACCTCGAGAGGTTATTCTAGTTTTACCGAGCGTGTCTAGTCTCTAGTCTTCTAGCTTAAAATATCTCGTCGCTATCCTCAAGCTTCGGATAGCTACTACAAAATCGTATAAATAACTAAATATATACGACTCTAATATTTTATGTAAGTTCGAGCAATCAGACAATTCAATGTGTCCTTCATAATTAGTCAAGTGAGTGTTGTTTGTTGGGAATGACGTGATCGACGATGCGGGGGCGAAATGAAATTGCTGTGTGCCGTGATTGCGATCTTTTCAATGAACTACTCGGTTTTGTGACTGCGAGTGGGAGTTGAACATCAATGTATTTACATAGCACCAACGTTCTACACGTAAACCGATTTCGTTTGTCTAAACGATTTGTTTTGACCTGTATCTAAACTTTTTTATTCATTTCTCTTGATTGTTTTAATAATAAACAACACAAAATAGGTAGTAAACTGAAGAGTAATAACAGAGCACGCCGTGGGACTTAAATGTCGTTAATGTTATAATTATAACAGAAATTTGAGAATTGTAGTTTTGTTGTTTCTGTTCGTTCTATATTGAAGTATGTATCCCAAAGATCCCCACACTAACGAGAAAAGCTACAGAGAATAAGGTTGAGGTAACAGTAAAATAATGTCCATGTACTGATTAGAAATTACTGTATGCGTGTTGTTCTATGGTATTTTTTGTATGACTACTGTAATGTCTTAATGATTATTGAAATACATATAAATTTAATACTGTATTCAAAACATATCTAATGTTTATTTTGTTAGAAAGGTAAAAACTGTTTAGCATTGTGGAGAACATTTACTTTATGGTTCAAGGTTAATTAATTAGACTAAGATACTGCAAGTGTGCTTGCTTAAATTGATGTAAAACTGTTTTTTTTTTTCATAATGAAATTACTTTATTTTTTAATTTCATTAATATTTTATACACGTGATTAAACCGTAAAAGTAGGTACGACATAGTAATATTATTTTATTTTACTAAATTAATTGTGTTAAATAAATAAAATATGTGTAAAGACGCGAGATTGTATTTTTTTTATTGCTTTATATAATTTTCATGACGTCTACGAATCGCGAAAACCGAAGAAAATATTAGACTCTATTTTACGTGTCTACCAGAAAAAACTTTAAAATTTTATTACAAACAGATTATAACGATATTTTAACATTCAGGACATTCCACAGACCTAACCATAATCATGAATAAATATGTAAATATATCACTTTTTGGTATTATCGATATTAAGGTCAAGGTATTCATTTTAAATAATTTCAGCTTGTATAAATTTTGGTAAAATGTAGAAACTCCGATATATACAATAAAATTTTTAATATTATTAGGAATGAAAATATCATGACTTGCATTCAAAATATTCAAAGACTTTTATTTTTGCACTAGGCTAAATCCATTCGAGTGTGCTTAGAATAACGGTGAAACAGTTCGATGGCCTTGGTGATCTTCCGTCATGGTTTTAAAATTCGTCACTCACAGGCGCAGTTATAGATATAGATTATCGTCATTATCTTTATTAAAGAAAACGAATAGATAGGTACTATAAATTTATATAAATTTTGACATTGACCTAAAACTTACCGAATTACAATTCCGACCGGATGAAGGTCAACGTGTAGGTAAGTAACGTTTGTATGTCATCGGTCAAGTGTAAATAAATACTATCATAAATAATTTATTTGCGTTATTAAATAAAAATGGAGTAAGCATAACTATGTCTCTGGTTGGTTGGGAAACGGTTTCCGTGACGTCTGCGGTCGTCGACTCTCGCGCGAACGTTTCATTATCAAAGTTGAGAGGAAAATCGATAAATACCTACGCGTTAACATAATTCTGAATCATCAAATTAATGAGAATACCCCAGAAAAACGATCACTACGTTTACAGATGTCGACACGGATTTTTTGAATTTAGATATTACCGATGATTCAATAGAAACGCTGGATAAATATATATTGTGAAATTACAAAAAGGTATTTTATCCTCATTTTTTATCTAAGGTTAATATGATTAGGAGCACTGAGATAAATCTATGTTTGTATTGCTGACTGACAATACGGAAGTTGCAACATGTATTTGTACAACGACTTACGTAAAGTATTAACCTGCAGAATACAAAATCATTCTTACTACGTGCACACATACCTACTTATAGCCCTATTGACTCCCGTGTTCTCTTGTTACCCTATACTTCAAAGTAGGCAAAACATCATTTACAGACATAATGCTGTTACAGCACCAAGTTAATGTTAATGATGAAGTTAAAAAACAAGCGAAGTTTGTAGACGTGTTTGCAGCCTCGCGGGTTGGCGGCCTTTGTGCAGGATTTCCGGCAGCCTGCACACGAATCCGACCGACAAAACAAATCATTTCCCCAGTACTTTAATGAAGTCGTATTACTATAAAGCAGCAAATGAATTCGAGAAATATCTGAGACTTCACTAATATATTATGTATTTAAATGAACCAGAACTCTTTCCCGCGAAAGCGAGCTTTTGCTCCACGCGTTAAGATTGAGCCCACAGACTTAACAATTTGAATACCGTCAGCCACCAAGTCAGAGTTTCAACTGTTTTTTTTTTTCTACCTAAGCTGGTAACCTTGGGAGCTATGCTATCGTAACCGGGTGATTTTAGTTGTAGGTATAACGGTTTTCCGAACCTCCAAAGCAATACGCATGACTGCATCTCGGCAGAAATAGGCAGAATAGTGTACTTGTTTATGACTTGTTTTTTTGGGCCTTTTGTTCCTCACAACTTGAATGCCACCGGGATGACGTTGTAGCCTCAACTGCATTTAAATAATGATTAGCCTTGGACTGGACTGAACCGATCCATGGGAGTTTAGAACTCGCCCTTTGAAACCATAGGAACAACTAACTAATTTAAGTATTCTCAGCGTAAATTTAATGTTTTCTATTTATTCATTTAATACGTAGACAGATGAACGAACGGCCGTCAGCCATCTTGAGACATGAGGTCTAAGTTACTAATGTATACTAATACAAACAGTATAACGACTATCGTAGCGTCAAACCGGTCCACATGACTGATTCGCGTCAAGAAAGGGCAGGGTGGCGGTATCTATCCCTACAGGCTCACAAGACGTCGCAAACATTATTTTTGAGATGATGTCTCGTACGTTCGCTTTAGAATTCGACAAATCATCAAATAAAGACATCAACGCGTACCACCGATACATACCTACTTAAAGTTAGTCCTTTTTAAGAACTTAAGAGTTTATTCATAAAACGATTTGTGTACAATCATAGTCATGTTTAACATTTAGCCTGAGAATTTAGGAATGAATATAAATATTTTATGGACAACATTAGGAAAATGAGGTAATTAAAATCGGGAGTAACCGAACGCTCTATGGATAGATACAAAGACGGAAGAAAGGTAATTATTAGTTCATTCACGTTTGCCACTTTCACTATTAGAAGTTACGGAAATCAGTTGGTGTTTAAAATGATTCTGAACTAGGCATGTATATTATTTTACGTATTGTGAGAATGGAGGGCGTTTAGTGAGACCATACGGGTATGTAGGTGTTACCATGTTTCCTACATCTACCGCAAAGTAGTTGTGCGTTCCGTCCGAAGGTTAGGATAACTGTTGTACAAAAAAATATTGGGACTAGCACCTCATGTATAACGGAATCCATGTTGCAATATCTACGATTTCTGGAAACCACAAAGTGAGCCGTTAACTGGTTTACTCATACAGACAATCGCAAAAACTTTAAACAATGCTTAATGACGTCTTTTGGGGATATTTATATCTCGTAGGCATCCTTCACATGGTCGCCTTCATGACTTTCTATCTGACACATATTATTTTGTACGTAAATACTTGAATTATACCCATTCACGGCCGTCTGAAGAAAATAAAGGTTCAAAAGGACCTCACCATCTTCTTAACAAAATTAAATGCTCCTCTGAATTAATTCACAAATAAAGTCCTAAGAGTAGACTTTATATAAACAAACAGCTTGTAGACAATGTAGTAATAATATTAGTAAATTTAAAGTCAGTTTCTCAAAGTATGCACATCTGGAATCGGTCTTTAGTTGTAACATGTAAAAGACAAAAAAACACGCTCCACTGCTCGGACTGGTTTAACGGGGATTTTTTCATTTCAATTTAAGCCTTATGAGTTCTGTGTAAAGCTCAATTTTTTAATTGAATAAAATTTTAAATACCGAGCAATCTCGCCGAGTTTTGACTCCGTAATAGGAAATGACCACTTTAGCCTTTTGGCAATGACCGCTTGTTAATCGGAACACTAACAATGTTTGCTGACAATTAAACAAACCCTCAAATTACTCCTTTAAAATATTATGCACCTAAAATAATTATTCGTATTATATTTTTACTCGTACGTAGGTATAATAATTGTGTTTGTACTTATTATGTTTCATTCAAAATAAAACGAGTAAATGTGTAGGTACCTATCCTAAATCAATTAAATATTATAGCTTTAGAGGAATTAAAGAGTCATTTAGTTTAATGAAATGTCCTGTAATAATAATCTGTAAACATAGTTTTGAAATCTAATAAGATGTGTCTCTAAGAAACAAAATCGGTACTAATATGTGATAACTTTAATTTGTTTACTAAATTTACCTTTCCATATTCGGCGGCTCCAGCCCACTCCTTCCGCCACTGGCCTGCCACTTCCATTTGAGTTTTTTTGTTGTTGTTTTCGATCGTTGCAGCTACACTCGTAAGCACTAGGATAATTCACAAAGCGCGCACAGACGTTCAGTTCACGCTCTAGCTCAAAGCCTACTGAGCTGGCTGACAGTTACTTTACTTGTTAGGTAGGAACAGGCCACACGCTGTTGACTTCAGCGGCGACGTAACGTGAACAGCATCGGCCCACAGAAATATTTACATATTATCGTCAATTCGTCATTGCCTTCCACAGCCAAAAAACTACCTACTTGAAGTCGACGCCCACTTTCAAAAGTACCTAGGCCGTCAACGAGACGTAGGTCGCGACCCACGCATATCAGATCTAAGCCAGACATTGCAACAACGAATCAATGCTGATTTTAGGTGCAACATTTTCTACCTTCTATGATCTTTTATGGAACAAGACTACACAAGACTACACAAAATAAAAGACTACATTCTTGTAGCAGTAGCACGTAATACGAAAGTTTAAGCTTGAGGTGTGCATTTTTAAGTTAACAATTTTTAGAAATTCGCTTTAAAAAGACCTAAAACTTATTACCTACCTGTGCGGGCTCAGATACAATATTCCAGAACATTGGCGATTGCAGTACGCTAATATAATATTCTGAGAAAGTTGATTCCCATTCTGCTGTAGGTAAATCCTTATGATGTTTCTTATGGCGCTCACGAGAAGAAATGGAGGGCAGTCGAGTTCGGAATTCAACAGTCAAGTGAAGAAGTTTTTATTTTTATTTTTTATTGTTTTGATGTGTGGACGAGCTCACAACCCACCTGGTGTTAATATGCACGAGCTTTGATACGTATCTAATATATTTGCGTTTAAATGTATCTAGTATATAAAAATAAAAGTGTGGGCTCTATGCGTTCTAAGCCTCGTCTAATTGTGAAGAAACTTGGTAGTTTAGTTGGCAATGAAGGGATGATTTATGACCGGGGACTATCAACGTGTGATGGCGCCCTAGTTTCAAGAAATGTTTTTTATACAATCAGCTATAGTAACACCAATGCGTGAGATTTCACTAGTATATAATAAACACGTTTATTATGAAATGTTTTCACTGCTTAAACGTTAGATGGCTAACGGCAATATTATTATAATATGGTGAAATCTAGATAAGTCAATGTTTAATTATTTTTATTGCTTAGACCGACTGAACGAGCGCATGAACCACCCAGGATTAGGTGGTTACCAGGACCCAGAAATAAAAACAACTTAAATGCCACTACCAACCTTGACACATGACATGAAGTCGTCTTTGCCTAAAGAATAAGACGTCCGGTGCAATCGTATCTAGCGCTGCAACGGTGTTTGAATTACCAATTTTTCTAATGAAATACGTAACGAACTAACAAATGTTCACGATTGACGGTGACGGAATAATATCGTGTAATAAAAATCAGACCCGCAAAATTATTATTCGCGTAATTACTGGTAGGACCTCTCGAGCCCGCACGGGTAGGACCACCGCCCTGCCTATTTCTGCCGTAAAGCAGTAATGCGTTTCGGTTTGAAGGGTGGGGCAGCCGTTGTTACTATACTGAGACCTTAGAACTTTTATCTCAAGATGGGTGGCGCATTTACGTTGTGGTTGTCTATGGGCTCCAGTAACCACTTAACACCAGGTGGTCTGGGAGCTCTTCCACCCATCTAAGCAATAAATAATTTAAAAAAAACTAAAGTTCAGTCTAGTCTAAACTAAAGTCTCAGTTCTTTAGTACAATTTCCCCGCCTTTTAAACCAGAATGTATTACTACTGCACAAAGGCAGACGTAGGTGGGTGGTGGTAACAACCCATGTGGACTCACAAGACACCCTCTACATAGGTGATATTTCTAAACATAATTTTCGTGTTGGGGAGTTGTTGGAAAATAATGTTTAGAGTTTATTTTCATGATATGTAATTATTTAAACAAATTAAACAATTTGCAAATAACTACAAATTTTTTAAAGATTGCAGATTTTTAGCAATTATTTTTTATTGTAACATACATTTAAAAATTTATCATTATATAGTAAGAAATAAGGCAAGACAATAAAAGGAGTGTTGTTTGAAGCCAGCCTAGAAATGTAAAATAAAATAACAACAACATTTTAACAATAGAACTCAAGAAAAGATTATATGGTTATTTATCATCATTTTTATTGATTTAGCGTTAAAGTATATAAGATGAATTTTATTGATTAATGTATGACTGCTGTCGTATTTCACTTATGTACAAGTCAAATAATGTATGATTACATTTCTCAAATTGCATTATTTCAAGAAATGCTTCATTTTTATTGTTATTTTTTAAATTGGGACATCTACGAAATCTCGCAAAAATAACATCATTTCTTTGGTTGATGGCACAAAAACTGTAAAACAATTTCTGTTCATAACATAACTGTCTACTAACACCATTTTTAAAGTACCTGTAAAACAATTGTTTTTTGTATTCACACAATTTTTCAATTTCTTTCCATTCAATTTCAGATAATCCAAATAAAAGGCCAACAGAAGGACCGCGAATTATACAAGTAATTTGTCCTGATCTATCTACAACCCTTAAAGTAGCAACTGATGACAAAACATTTTTTTTGTAATGATTGACTTTAACAGATTCAAGGGTGTAGTCCGTTAATAATCCCCAGCCTTCAGAGAGAAGCTTGAGTTTTCTTCCTTCGGTTAATTTGACAGGACACAGATCATACAAATTTAAATTATCTTTCTTCCTTTCCACAATTTGCATATCAGCTCCAGATCCTTAATTTATTTATTGATACCTACACTCAAATACATTGGTACTCTTTTTTTTTTCTTTACATACTACTTAATTAGTGTAACAAGTTGCAACCACTCCGAGGTTGTTGCAGTTTATTTGCATTTATCTTGCATTAATGTTGTACCTATGCACATAATAGTGTATAGTTAATTTTAAAATATGTTGAAGACTGAAGAGCAATGATACATATCTCGAGACATTGACATTCACATACACTTATTTTAAAGGGATTTTATGACCTGGTAACTAAGACCGTTGGGTCAAATCTTATTTTAATTTATATTCTTATTTTTATGAAAAATGATAATAATAATTCATTAAGATTAATATATTAGTTCTAAGTGTGTTCTAGGTACCTACCGTACTAATATGCTTGATATTAATTTTTTCAGTTGTTAATTTTACTTAACCCATTGTCGTACTTTATTAATAGTGACGCACGAGTAGAAATCATCGTTTAAGAAGTCATCGTGGCCTAAAGGATAAGAAGTCCAGTGCATTCGTATATAGCGATGCAACGGTGTTCGAATCCCGCAGGCGGGTACCAATTTTTCTAATGAAATACGTACTTAACAGTTGTTCACGATTGATTTCCACGGTGAAGGAATAACATCGTGTAATAAAAATCAAACCCGCAAAATTATAATTTGCGTAATTACTGGTGGTAGGACCTCTTGTGAGTCCGCACGGGTAGGTACCACCGCCCCGCCTATTTCTGCCGTGAAGCAGTAATGCGTTTCGGTTTGAAGGGTGGGGCAGCCGTTGTAACTATACTGAGATCTTAGAACTTATATCTCAAGGTGTGTGGCGCATTTACGTTGTAGATGTCTATGGGTTCCAGTAACCACTTAACACCAGGTGGGCTCTGAGCTCGTCCACACCTCCAGGCAATAAAAAAAAAGCCCAGTGCGTCATTGTAGCCACATATTAGAATGAATCGATCATGAAAATGTAAAATCTTAATAATTTAAAATGGTTAGGTTATTGAAAGTTGTAGGTAAGGTAAGGGTAAGGTTTTATGAAATAATATTGAATCAGTGTTGTGGGTAAAACTTAGGATGATAATATTAAGCAGACGATGAGACGTTTCGGTCCTCCATCCGTTGGGTCGTGGCGGAAGCCAGCATCCTATTTTAAATTTAATGCCTTTATGCATTACTTTGCATTTTCTCGTATAATTCCTTTACTATATTAAAATCGCTATTTTGGTGATATTGCAGTATTTGTTATTTGGCAAACATGACTCATACCACACAGTTGCAAAAAAGTGACAAAACGGAATCTACTTTGAGAGTGCCCAATGGCAAAGGACAGACTCTCATAATTACTCACACTGGAATGCTTTTAGGTCAGAAAAATTAGTCCAAACCTAGAATGTACCACTTTCGATAAATGGTTTCATTTCAACTTCGTTTAAAAATCGATTTTTTTCCACTTCTATCCAACCCTAGAAATGTTCCTTTTCCACATCAACGTCATTATCCGCGTAACAATAGAACCTCTTTTATACGTTCAGAATTTTAACTTTGAATTGTTTGATTAGTTTAATGAACAGACAATGGAAACCAACGTCATTTAACGAATGCTGTATGACAGTCTTTCTCAAAGTGGGCGATAACGCCCCCTGGGGGGCGTTTGAAACCTAGAGGGGGGCGTTAAGGGGCCCAGGAAAAAATGGGGGGCGTTGATGTGGGTTAGGGGGGCGCTGTAAAATTTGTAATTTCATTTACTTTATAGTATTTTAAATTTTACTAAAATTAAAACTCACCTACTACACAATAACGAATAATTA